GCAGTGGCCGTTGGACGATGGTGAGGGGTCGGAGCACGGATGGAGCCGCGAGCGGCGATGTCTCGGTGAGCAGCTGGTGAATCTCCGGAGGCGGAGGGGCGAGGTGCATCCGAAAGCGTGGGCGAGGGAAGAGGGGAACAACCCAGGGGTGCGCTGGGGAGCCGGGCAGCGTCTGTGGGGCAAGGCTGGCAGCAGGCAGGGGAGCGGGGCCACCCCCAGCACCCCAACCTCTCCTCCCAGCCTCACTGCTCTGCAGCACCTCTCTTGGGGTGGGGGGAACCCAGCTGCCAAACCCCCACCCCGGCCATGGAGCTGGCAGCCGGAGCTTTAGGGCTGCTGCAGTGGGCAAGCAAAGCTCCTTGGGAGAGCATCCCTGGGGGAATGGATGTCCCAGCCTTGGGGAGAGCATCCCTTAGCCTCGAGGAGAGCATCTCCCTTGGCGAATGCATCCCTTGGCCTTGGGGAGAGCCTCCCTGCTCTTTGGGGAGAGCATCCCTGGGGGAACGCATCGCTCAGCCTTAGGAAGAGCATCCCTTGGCCTCAGGGGGAGCATCCCTGAGCCTTGGGGAGAGCATCCCTCGACCTTAGGGAACGCAGCCCTTGGGGAAAGCATCCCTTAGCCTCAGCGACAGCATCCCTCCACCTCAGAGAAGGCATCCCTCGGGGGCACACATCCCTCTGCCTCGGGGAAAGCATCCCTTGGGGAAAGCATCCCTTGGGGAAAGCATCCCTCGGGGAAAGCATCCCTCTCGCCGGGGCGCTGCCTGCATCCAGCTGGGGCTCAGGAGAAGGTGACCACCTCACCCTGAGGGTAACTGGAAGAGAGGACGTCTTGGCAGGTGTCTGCAATTAAAGACACAAGTATTAAACACACCGTTAGACATTGCTTTCATTGGCTGTTTGTGGAGAAATAGGAGAGGGAGAGCGAGACTGAGCTTCCAGGGCACCCAAACTTTGCAGGGTGCGGAAAACAGAGTAACTACAAAGTGAAATGGCCTTCTCCGGAGGGATAAAATGCTGCTATTCCACCAGAAAATCAGGAAAAAAGTGTTTTTAAAAAAGCCTTAGAATGGACCCAGAGATGGAGACTTGGGAAATGATTCTCTGAGAGAAACCAAAGGTGGAGTCAGGGTGATTTTGAGGGTAAAAAGGAAGAGCAGAGGAAAGAAGCCCTCCCCGCTGCAGCCCGCTCCTCCCAGAACGCTGCTCTTGACCAAAACTTCCCAAGCCAACCCCAAGCCAGATGTCCCAAAGCCAAGCCTGGTGCATTAATATCCCGCAGTGCTTTCTCTTGTCTCTCTCCCTCTCATTCGTTATCATTGAATTAATTAACATTGATTGCAGCTCTGAGTCACAACACCGCCTCTACCCGTGTGCCAGGACCCGGTTTCCAGGCGAGGGGCTGTCAGACGGGGAGACAGCGCCTGATCCACCCGATAAGCCACGGAGCTGCCCTTCCCACCCAAGGATTTTGCTGCAAAACCCAACACCAGCTCCTGACCGTGGGGTTAACCCGGCTTTCCCCCCCTGCGGACCGAACGCAGCTCCCAAAGCATCTCATTTTCCCCCAAATAAAGGTCTCATCCTCCATCGAGCATCACTCCGCAGCTTGGGCGAGCAGTGCCCGGACGCGGAGGCTTTTCAAAGCCCCACATCCCAGACAAAAACCCTTAGGATTAAAGTCCCTAAAGCCCAGGGCTTGCAGGAGAGGTCTCCACCTCCCGAACTGCCACAATGGACCAGTTTGGGGGACCCAGCATCATCCCCCCA